AATGGGACAGGGGATAGGGGGCTGGGGAGAGGGAAGAGGGGACAGAGAACAGGGGGTATGGGACTGGGGAGAGGGGATAGGGGACAAGGGACAGGGGGTATGGGACTGGGGAGAGGGGATAGGGGACAAGGGATAGGGGATAGAGGACTGGGAATAGGGGGCAAGGGACAGGGGACTGGGAATAGAGGACAAGGGACAGAGGATAAGGGACTGGGGACAAGGGACAAGGGACTGGGAAGAGGGGACAGGGGACTGGGAATAGGGGACATGGAACAAGGAACAGAGGATAGAGGACAGGGGATAGGGGACAGGGGACAGGGACTAGGGATAGGGGACAGGAGACAAGGGACAGAGGACAAACGCTGTTCGGCCAGCCCTGCGTGCTCACCTGCTTCAGTAACCTTACTGTTAACATATTGATATAATATAGCTCCTAGCTTCCCCCTTGGCATTCCCAGATACATCCACATTACATCACAAATCAAAACAACTTTTGATTCGTATTTCTGAAAGAATTGGTACCTTGCAGGAGTTTAAGGGATCATCAATCAAAATCTAGAATGAGAAAAGTTGGTTTTGCTTTCAGAAACATCTCAACGTTCAGTTTAAGTTACCTTGCTTACTTGAGCTTAAGGAAGAAATTAAAATGAGAAAGGGTGAGGGTGCAAACTGGGAAACAATCATTAAATGCACTGGCATTTGACTTGTTGCCAATTAATGGTTTTCTGAACTTGGAAGTAAATTGAGGGGAACAATTGCAAAATACATAATTTGATTTACGAAAGTCACCAATTAATTAAGCCATGCCCAAAATATCTGCTGGACTTGTGGTTGAGAGATTCTCCTGCACAGCAGAAGACCTTCCAGGATTGAATCTGGAAGAGAATAGATTGAATTATTGGCTCATTAAGGGCAGTTCTATTAAATTTTTCTTTTCTATTTATAAGGAAGAGGGAGGTCACCTGCTGAAAATATCTGATAAACAGATTCATGCTTACAGAATCATTGAAGTTACTTTTGTCGGTGTTAAATGTTTTACCTAAGGAATTTTAGCAAATACTATTTCTCACTAATTTCAATATTCCTATAATATATAATAATTTGGGAAGGAGTACAGATATTAATCATTTCCAGTCTACCTATAGAGAATATTCATAAATATTTTTGAAGAAGGCAGCTCTAGTTTTGTGTGCTGCATGGTAAGATATATGAGAATTGAGATTTCAGGTATAAATAGAGTTTGCTTTTAAAGTTTTATGTCAATTTTCTGCATTTATCTGGACCGATGGCAAAGCTGTCTGATGTGCAAAACTTACTGCAAGTGAAGACTGCAGCAAAATCTTAGTTGTTGGTTAGATTAAAACAAAGACAAAACAACAAACACCCTGGAGCTGTTCTAGCCTAATGCAGAACTACTGCAGAAAGTGTTACATTTCTTGGGGCAGTGGTGGCAGCTGACTCGAGCAATCGTCCCCAGTTGCGCCCTGCTCTGCTTCCTTGAGCTTCTTGTTCGAGATGTTTGTTAAGGTCAATGGTGAAGCTGATTAGCAAAAACTCCTGTCTTCCCACTGGGTTATGTTGTCTTTCAAGCTGTATCTGTTCCCATGTTGTGTAAAACATGCATTGTGTTGAATAATAATTGTGCCAGCATTAAATCAGAGGGAAATAAAAGTATTTAAGGGTAAGGGTGACTGCATCAGCTCTTATAAGCAATACTACCATGAAATATCTCAGTCCCAGGAAGGACTTTGATGTTTATTTTATTCATACCATGTACAACAATTTGCATTGCTTTTGGAATGTATAGTTTGATGTATTTGATCTACAGAAAAAAGAATTACAGAAAATCTTCTCAAGCTAAAAATCCTATTTTGAAAGTGAACAGAAAAATTATAGGCATATTTGTATTTTTTTCCTCCTGCCTTCCAGTTTATTAACAAAATTTGTATGGGATGGTCTGGAGGGCTAAAAAACCTCCACACGTATCAGAGCCTATAGAAAGTGCTTTCAGTCTGGTATAAATTAACAACAATTTTAATCCCATGTGCTAAATATTACTTAAATTTAATATTTCATGCTGCCTTTTTTTTTTTAATATTGCCTAAAATTAGAAATTTTGGCATGATTAATCCTGGTTTTTTTAAACATAAGTACACATGTCATTCTATTGTCAAGTTGCTTGTATTCCTACAGCTGAGATAGTTAAAAATGTGGTGGACGTGTCGTTTAATCTGAACGGTGTTTTGGCATGGCTTGTCTTTTTATTTCAGTCTTTTGCTGCACTTTGCTGTGGGTCTGACTGTGAAATTTTCAGTGCTGCTTTGACGTTTATGCACATGTATTTGTAAGAAGGTTGTTTGTTATTTTGCAGGCCCACCTTCAACCCTCCCTCTAAGCACTCAAACCTCTAGTGGCAGCTCCACTCTTTCCAAGAAGAGACCACCTCCCCCACCCCCAGGACACAAAAGAACCCTCTCTGACCCACCAAGCCCACTACCTCATGGACCCCAGAATAAGGGCCCAATTCCTTGGGGTGAGTTTTGAAATGCAAAACAAAAGGGCAGGGGAAAACCTTTATGATGACTGATATATGATCTTTGGTTTCTTTTTACCTGGTGCTTGCTTTCCAATGATCGCAACTCGATGTAACGTCAGCTCAGATAAATCAGCAGTTCTGTCTTCTGTCACTCTGCCTCCCAGGCTGCTGCAGCCGAGTCTCACTTGAGAAAGCTTAAAACGCTCCCCTGGGGCCCAATCCAATCTCCTCCACCACCTCCCTGTCTGCCCCAGCTGCCTGGGCTCTGCCCTCACCCAGCCCCTCAGCCCCTGCTCTCCTCTGCCTCTGCCTCTGCCCCCTCCCGTGCTGCTGTGCCCAGCTCAGGAACCAGCTGCAGGATGCACACAGACCCCACTGTGGCTGTGCAGGTCTCACAGGTGCCACAGCACTCTTTCCTTGGGCTCTGGGCCACGCCTGTCCTGTAAAGTGTTCACACCTCACTGGTGGGAATGTGTTGTCTTAGTATGTATTTGGCTTTTGTGATGTTGTCTGTACATACACAAAGACTGATAGGTTTCCATTCTGCAACCAGCAGAAGTTACAAAGAAAACAGTGCATTTTATTTTTTTATTTATCAGGATACATTTCTGACAGATGCTTTTTGGAAACTGTTCCCCAGACTACTCAGATTCTTCCTCTTTTAAATAAACATTGCTCTATGCAGTCAAATTCTCTTGGTAGCTATAAATATCAGACCCATGTAATTTTCTGTGGTTTTAGTCTTGGTGGCAGGATTTCCCTGAATCTGTAAATTTTTAAACTGGAATCCAGTGCTTACATAGGTGCATCATCCCTACACTACTTGTATCTTAAGAGAATCCTCTCTCTATTCTAGTATAAATACACAATTACTAGCCTAAAATAAAAAACTGCTAGCCTAAAAGCACCATTTTTTTTTTTCAGCAAATTGAGTTAAATGTAGTTAATCATGGAGTACTCATGTATGATTTAATCTAGGATTCAATAAGAAAAGTATAGAGTCCAATGAAAAGCAAAGACTTTTTCTCAAGGAATAAAAATAGTGGAATCTTTTCCGTTCTCTACTTCTCAGAGGTCTGAGATATGGGAAAAAAAATGTTTCCTATGTTCTAGAATCTAACAGCCCTGTACTTTTTCAGTGGTAGTAAAGACATTTTGAAGAGCTTGGACTTTAAATATGTAAAAAACCTCAAATATCTAAGTCCAAAACAGCACCTAAAGTGCTATATACTATAGAAAATACTAGAATACTGTATAATGTAGCATGATTAGGCTGAAAGGTGTGATAGGATTAGATGCTAAGCATGTGCCAGCTTTTCCTTGAATACATTAGGCAACAGATAAAGGAAGAAGAAAATATGGGAAAGGTGCAGGCATGCAGTTGAAGGTGATTAGCAGTAAAGCACCTTGTCAGAGTAGGCCCAGGGAAGAATATTTCCTTTCCTGTCTCTTCACTGTTTTCAGGGCAAGCTAAACTTCAGTGGATGGAAGAGGGGCCTCTTCTCCCCAGTTTGCTTAGCTGACATCTGTATAAAAGCTTGTTTCAAAGTCCATTTGGATTTTTAAGCAAGTATTAAATTTTGTGTTTATAAAAGAGGGAGTTTCTTGTATCTGACTTTGTGTTTTTTGCTTAAGGATATTGTCAAATGTTCACTGCTTTTCCTTTCAGAAGCTTTCTTCTATGTTGTTACTTTTCTTGCTATGTGGAATTTCAGCATTTGTCTTCTAATCTGTGCATTAATTGAAGTTTCAAGCAGAGCAATCCTTAGTTTATGTCTAAGCAAATTGAGTTACTATTCAAAGATGTTCTAAAAATGTCATTTAGATTATTTTGTATTTCCATAGCAACCATGAGATATTTTTCCTTCCTTTATCCGTGGGATCTACATGTTTGCTGTTTTACCTTAGTTCCTTTTTTGCACCACTTTTAAACACAAATATATTTTTAGCAAGGCACAGCACGAGCCTTTTCTGCTGTTTCATTTAGACATCAATGCGCCAAGAATGGTATTTAAAAAAATGTGTCATTCTTTTGAATGAGAAGTATTTTGTGTTCTTGGATCATTAAATGTCACTTTGCATCTATTTCAATGACAAAATTTACTAATGGTCGTTGAAGCTGGTTCTGAGATTAAGAATGCTGTAAAAGGAGAGGCAAAGGGGGGTGAAAAGGCACTAAACCAAATGAGTTGGTGTCATTATACCTTGGAAATGGTGACTGTTAATGAAGAGAAGCTTTTTGCTGAAGGAGTTCAGAGCATTTGGGTTTGGATTTTGCTACCTTTTGACAGAATTCTGTATACCCAGGATCTTTTCTTTACCAATGGCTAAAGTGTAGACTATGGGAACACACAAACTTAGTCATTAAATCAGTCAAGCCTATTCTTTACATAGGATAAAATACCAATCCTTACAAATTTAAGGTTTTGTGAATAAAATCACATTCATGGTGGTTTTAAAAAGATGTGCCTCACAGTGCAAAATGTAAACATCTGTGATAAATTTATCTAATATTGGCCTGCTGTATCTCCTTCTATACAGAGAAAATTGAAACACTATTTCAAAACAAATGCCCTACAGCAATGTCATTCAATCTTCCCTTGCCAGGAAATGAGAGCTACCAGTGAGTTGTTTTAAAATGTGTTATATGAAAGGTCATCTTGGATTATTTTAGTCCCTCCTGCTTTTTCAGCTGCAAAATTATTAATAACGAATGAATTTATAAATGATCTTTTAGCTATGTTGTATAGAAGATGCATAGAGTAATACATGTTTTGCTTTAAATTGCACCCTCTGCTGATTATATTTCAGTTATCCTAATGATTTTTTCTTTTTTAATCGTCCTTTTTTTCACCTCAGGTAATGATTTGGGCCCACCTTCAACTAAGGCTGCAAACAAGTTTGAAGGGATGTCTCAGCAATCAAGGTAAAATCTGCGTATACAAAGGCAAAGATGAAAATTTAAATAAATATAACTAATTGTAAATTAGAAAAGAAAAGCCTTTCATAAGAAATAAAATCCTAGCTATGTTTTCTATTAGTTTTCTGCGTGCCTTACTAGCACACAAATACTTTGTCTCCACTGAGCCTCCTACGCTTTGTTCCTCGCTGTGCGTGCACAATCCATCCTTTGAGCGGGATGGACAGAATGGCTTGTACCCGAATCTATCTGCTGCTCCTACAGAAGTGCTCTCCCAGCTGGGGAATGCTGCCTCAGACCACAGTCCAGCAGGACAAAAGTTTTATTTTCATGTCTCCTGGCATTTCATTCTATCTGCTTCAGTGAGGTGTCCTGCCTGTAGCAGCAGTGTCCCTGGGTACAGGCTGGCATCCAAGATGGCTCTGTTAGAGAGAGAGTTCATCTCAGTCTTCCAGTTTAGCTGCTTTCCATTCTATCAGGCTTCTGTGCTTTCACACAGTCTGCAGTAACACAAACTGCTTTTAGCTCGTAGTTCATCAGTTCTGTCCATTACAAGTGTCTTTCTCAATAACTGGAGCAGTAAGAACAGCCATACATTCTCTCACTTAAGAGTGACTACTCCTCTATCTGTGCTGTGATTCCAAAGTCCTGAGGTTCAGAGCATGGTAATTCCAATAAGCACCTGCCTCAGGCACACAGCCTTGTGTGACCACAAGTGTGTGGGCTGGGCTGTGACTGGGGATGGATGAGTCATCCATCAGATGGGGGCAGACAGGGCACAGCAGAATATGTGTAGGAAGAGGTTCTGGACACCCCCAGCCTGTGATCTGCCTTGTCAGAACAGACAGGGAACCTGTTGGTAGCACAGCTGGCTTCCCACATTTGCTGAATTCATCCAGCTGGCACTGGGCATTCAGGGAAAAAGTGGTAGTGTTCCACAGCACAGAGAGTTGGGCCCATCCTAGATTCTTGTCAGACAAAGGTAAAAGTGTGGTCCTTGTATTCCATGGCATTAGAGAGAGGCCGAGGTAGGAGCTGGGCTTTGATGATCTTTGTGGGGCACTTCCAGTTCAGGGTATTCTATGATTTATTGAATCAAGATTGAGCTTGGCTGTTCTTTCAGTTTCATGTCATGATGTATTTTTGCTATTTAAAAAGCAGCAAGAAATTAAAAGTGTTTCATCATGCTCATTTTGAAATGTTGCTTGCAGAGAATAAGAACAAGCAATACCAGAATCAAGGCAGTTGATGCAGAAGAGTCTCTGCTCTGTTGAACATACACTGGCAGCCTTCTCAGTCACTTTTCTTTTTTCCTTTTTTTTTTGAGTCGTTCTTTTGAGGTGATACTGATTTTTATGTATTTTTAGATTTTTATGTCTTAAATAATTTTTTTTTTCTTCTCTTCTTCCACATTCCTTTTCTATAAAAGTGACTTAGGTGTGGTTTTAGAGGAAAAACTGTGAGAGGAATAGCTAAGATATGTGTAATACAGGTTGACAGAGTAAAGCATGTTGTTTTCCCACAATCATCAGTATTTCCTGGGAGTAGCAGAGACCTTGTCTCCTCCTGCAGCAGAGCATGTGTGTGATACAAATTCATCCATGTGCAGGAGGCTACAAGGCAAAGGCCTAGTCCTGGAAAACTTTGCTGACATAAAGCACAGATTTTTTTTTTGTATATTGTAAAATTATTTTGAAGAACACATTCTTCTTAAGGTTCAGAATATGCCCAGAGTTGGTCTTTCAGCTTCAGCTATTTTCAGAGTATATTTTGCATGTACCATAGTTCATACAATATATCTGCCCCATAGCATTGAAGGTGTTTAGGGTTTGTTATGTCTTTTTCTCTGAAAAAAAAGCCATTTAATTCTTAACAATGCTTTGAGTTTTGGGATTTATCCATGGATAAAGTGATTATACAAAAGGGGAAAAATAAATGGGATTTGGGGGATTTAAATGGATGTGTAAAGGGAGAAGATGAGAAATAAGTATATTTTATAGTAGCTGTAAGCACTAATCATTCACATCTGTTGATTTAGCACTGGGACTGCAAAGACTGCACTTGGCCCTAGAGTTCTTCCCAAACTACCTCAGAAAGGTAAGAGATCACTTTGTGGCTATTCTCATAATGCCATCTTTTAAATGTGGGTGAAAGTAGATACTTGTTTTAAAGATATGGATCTTTTCAGCAGAAATTTTATTTCTGAAATGCCACAAACATGAAAGCTTCACAAAACTGAAAAGATTTTGGAAGATGGGGAAAGCTTTTATTAATTTTTTAAAAAATACACCTAAGAAAACAATAAATCATGAATTAATTGAAGCTGGAAGACCTCAGGAGGTCTCGTGGTCCAGTCCAGCACTCGGAGTAGGGCCAGCTCTCTGCCATGAGAGCAGGTTGCTCAAGGCCATGTCCAATCACATTTTGAGTATCTCCATGGATAACTTCTCTGGGCTTCTGTTTCTATCCTAGATCACTCTCACTGGTAATTTTTTTTTTGTCCTGATATCTCCAAGTCCAACATCTTGATATGTTGGAGCAAACTGTATCTGTGCCATGTTCTGGCAGTCAGGGGTCTGGTCAGTGCAATTGCTTTGGCAAGAACCAGGTACTGTTACATGCTCATTTATATATCAGGGACAAACTTGCTGAGACCATATCCCAGGGAGCACCTTTCTTTTAGAAATGTTTTTTTCTAGTGTCTTTATACTCACACAGCAGGTTTTATTTCGTTTATTTGAGTTGTTGCAGCAGTTGACTATAAAGTAGAAAGTAGACCTACTTCAGACTGTTCTGTCTGAATACAGAATCCATCAAAAATATGTTACATCTGTATGAGTGGATGATCACAATAGAGCCTGAAGATCAGGAAATGCTGCTTGTCCAGAATTCTGAAGCCAGATGTCTGAAATTGAGAGTGCCAATCATTTTTAACAGAAGAAGCAAAAGTAAATTTTTAACTATTGTATTTTGATTGTTCTGACATGTTATCTTTTTCAAAAGACACCAATAATGCACTAGGGTGGCACTGTGAAGAAAGCCAAAACTTCCTTGATTTAAAATTATTTAGGTGAAAATTTAAGAAGGGCCAAATCAAAGCACTTCAATAAGGACTGCTATCAGGGTTTTTCATATAATTTACTTACATCTCAAACCTATGTGGCCAGTCAGTGTGTGCACATTTGCTGCAAGGTAAGCTTAGAACACAGAGCTATATACAGGGATCAACACAGATATTTTTTTTAAAACAAGACATCTGATAGTAATTATGCAAGTCTTTCATGGAAACTATGCAAATGGGTTTGGTTTGGGGTGTTTTGTTGTTTTTTTTGGTTTTGGTTTTTTTTATAATGAGGTGTTTTTTTTGTTGTTTTTTTTGGGGGGGGTTTGGTTTGTTGTTGGTTTGTTTGGTTTTTTTCTATAAGTAACCACAAATAGATTATGGAAGTGTTATTTAAGTAGGTGATATCCAAAGAGAGTGTTGTTGCTTTCATAGTCTAATGTCAGGCCACTTTTTGGCTGATAGAATATGGTACATTCAGCCCTGCTGAAAGAAAATTGTTCTTTCTAGTCAAAATGTGTTGCTTTCATCACAGGTTGTAAATGTTTTCTGTCTTGTCCCCTTTCATCAGTTTTAACATTAGGGTTATTTGATTTAGGAGGTTGTGGGTTTGGGGTTATTTTGTGTGTACTAATGGTTTTGTTTATGAGGTAGATTTCAGTTGAGTTTTCTTGGGGAGCTTAGCAGTAAAATCAATAGATGATGTTGAGAAAAATCTAATTTCAATTTCCTTCCATCAAATCTGCAAAATACACATTTTAAAACTTTTCATCTTTACTAAATTGTAAATATAGACAATAATACATTTTTTCTTAGTTTTAGTGTGAATGTTATAGTACAGTATGTTCTATCACTACATAGATACATATATGTGGTCTCTCTCTTCTAAGAGATTTTGCAGGTACTAATCCAGAGAGTCAGATGGTTCTTAGTATGGAATTCAACTGTATATGTAAAAAATTGTCATTAAAAAGAAATTTTGTTGCAGTCATATCAATTGTTCTAGAGATGGTTTTGCAGTCTTTTATTATATTTCATACTTTTTGGTTTAGGTCCAAAAAGTGATCACTTTATTTCATTTTAAGTAAATAATCTATGAATTGACATCTAATAGCTGTTGGAAGGCACTGTTGAGGCACTGCTGGCCTCCAGGAGGAGCAATTAAATGAGACCTCAGTGAACGTGGATTATGTAGAGTTGTATTATCTTGCCTTTGTCATAGACTAGGAGGACTTATGGGCAGTTGTGGGGCTCAGTGACTGTGTGGTCATTGACACAACTGCAGTTTTGATATATGCCTAACTTCTTTTATGCTAAAATATTCAGATTGTGAAAAAAAATTGTTTTTCTTTTTTGTTTTAGTGGCACTAAGAAAAATAGAAACCAGTCATCATCTTTCAATAGATAAATCCCATCAGCACATGGAAATGTTTCAGAAGCCCTCACTGTCCATCGATATACCACAGAAGCCACAGCCTGGAGACTTGCCCCCAAAGCCTCTGCCTCTGGAATTAACTCAGAAACCTCAAGTGGGAGATTTACCCCCAAAGCCTGGAGAACTACCCCCAAAGCCTCAGCTAGGAGACTTGCCACCAAAACCACAGCTTGGAGACTTACCTCCAAAGCCACAAATGAAGGACCTTCCTCCAAAACCTCAGCTAGGAGAGCTGTTGGCTAAAACTCAAGGTGGAGAAGCAGCACCGAAGCCTCAGCCCTCAGAGGCAAATCAAAAATCTCACTCCATAGATCTTTCTCCAAACGTACAATCCAGAGACACCGTCCAAAGGCAAGCATCTGAAGAGTCTAATGACATAACACACACCCTGCCAGAAACCCCTGTGCCACTTCCCAGGAAAATAAATATGGTAGGTATTACTCCAGCTCCTTGGAAGTGTCCATGGAAGGCCTTGACATTGTAGTTTTTGTGCACCCTTGAGCTATGCTCTCAAGGCAACATAAAGCTATGGGCTGGGGAGAGAAATGAGGGGCTCTTTTTGTGCCCCAAAGCAGCTTCAGAAAATATTGGGGGTTTTCAAGGCCTTCTGCATGCTCAAACAAATTGTTGCAACATAAAACAATAACCTTGGGAGCATGACAGTGTATTTAGATTTATTGAGATTTATGTATTTATTATATCTATGCCAATCACAACTCTGAATGAATTGATGATTTCCTCTGTTGCCTTTGGTCACGGGTCTATGTGCCTTAGATTGCTAGAATATTTGTATATTTGACTTTGTAAGCTTTAGGAAGGGATGTTAGCACTTGTTGTCAGTGGATGCAAAATTTAAAGTAAAGTCAACTGTGACCAAATAGTAAATGTCCCTGTCATGAGTATTTAGTGTTGATGTATTTAATGGTTGAAGTGTAGGTTCAGATGTATTGATGAAGTGGAAAAATCGACATACTACGACATGGTGCGTAGTAGTAGATCTGGAACTTTAACTTGATTCCAGCCCCCAGTTTATCTCACTGTTCATCTTTCTAACCAGTACAATTTCCAAAAGAGAATTCTTAATGCATATGTAGATTGAGATAACCATGAAACTCCAGAGCTCGCTTAAGATTTTCATCATGAAGAATACATCAGAAGGGAAATGGCTTTGTCAGATTGGCTATGCAAAGCACTTATGTAAAAATGAAATAAGACTTCATTATAGTGAAACAGTGGAAGCAGAGGGTGAGTTTCTGCCCTGTGCTTGTCTGAGGATGGATGTGGATTGATGTGGAGCCATCATTCTGCTTGGCCTCTGGCATGGACTTGCCTGTAAGCTCTTGTCTGAACTGAGGACAACTGAGTTGTTGCTTGGGCTTCCTGAGTATTCTGGAATTTAAATAATACAGGGATCTGATCAAAAAGTGTTTGTTTACTTATGTACTTTTAAATATAAGCAGGCAAATGATGCTAGTCATTCTCAGTTGCTTGTCGCTTTATTAAAGAAGAAAAGAAAGCAAATAATGGATTACCTGTTTAGTTTGGTGTCTGGGCTTTTTTTAAACTGCCATCCTACTGTATACAGAAAAATTCTGAGGAAAGGTTCTTTGTTCTCTGAACTCAGCCATTTTCACATGTGCAGTAAATTAAATAGTTCCTCTGTTGTGCAGTAATTTAAGCAATTCTATATCTTTCCTATATATATGTATGTATGTATATATGGTATCACCAGGTTTTTGCACATCTTTGCACCACACTTGTATCTCTTCGTGTTCAGTGCAGCTTTTTTTGCTCTAATGATGATGTGCAAGAATTCATCTCAAATGTATCTTGCCTCCACTTTCATCCTTTGGCTGTATCCTCTCCACAGAGCTGGTGAAATGCTTCATGCCAGTGAGCAGTGAGACCCACGACAGCAGCCACAGTACTCGTGGGCACCTCTCTCTTGGGCTTGACTATTTAGCTTCTTAAGAGAGAAGCATAGATTTTTTTACTGGTAGTTTTAGAAAATTAATTGATCAGAAATACAGTTTTAAAATTCCAATGTTACAGGATTTGAAAAGATATTTTTAGAGAAACAAAACTTGCACTGAGTGCTCCTGAAATCACACTGAGCACTTGAGCATTCTTTTTTGTGTGTGTGGTGGTTTCTATAAAGGAGACAAAGTACTCAATTTTAAAGAAAAAAAAATGTGTTGAATGTAAATAAGAGCATGGTTGGATTATTAATGATCACAGCATCTCATTACTGTTCAATTTTCAGCATAAAATCTCTTTAATAAGCACTTGTTGGGTACAGGGAGTCAGTAGGTGGTGGGTATTTGTTTTTTAGTCACAGATTACATTTCCTGGAATTGCTTCCATTTCTTTACACACCAATGCCACAAACTGTTCTGGAACATGAACAAAATATGTTCTGGAACATATGTGCTCTCTACATACCCATCCATTTTTATATCTTCCATGATTAAATACACCTTGAACTTGAATGCTGCTTTTTGCTGCTCTCTGTTAAAACAAATAAAATGTTAAAATCTGATGGAACCAGAGTAATTCCCATCATTTCTCACGTGCTCTTACAAGCTGAGTTCCATACAGTTTTCTAATTTTAGAGGAATGTAAATTTCGTTATTCTTTTTATTGAACAAGAGAATTTTTACCTTGCAGAAGTAGATGCTTCCCTTCATGACTGGAGGATTGACTGGGAGGCAGCACTCTTGGTTTGTAAAGGTTCTCTGGAGTTGAAATCTGGGACTGTCCCCAAGTACTCATTCCTGTTGAATTCTAGTCCCTAGTTCTAGATGAGATTTTGCTTAAATTATATGAATATATTTTTAAGAAAAGAGGAAGCATTCTTTGAAGTGACTTTTCACTTCAGCAAACCTTTGCAGTAGGAAAAAACCTTGATCTTGTATGGCCTCTTCAGTATTTCTCTTCATTTGTCTTGAGTGTGGGTTTTTGTTTTTTTTTAGTTTTATGTTGTGTTAACTGCTGTCTCCCTTAAATCCCCCTGTAACTTTTTTTTTTATTTTTCTGTACCTTGAGTTTAGTGTGAGCGCTTTTTTCAGTGTCTGTTCTGCTGTTGAGCTGTTGCGATTTTTTTTTTCCTTTTTTTTTTGCCACAACATGGAGGAATTTCAAGTCAGTAGGTAACAGCAAAGAGAAGACTCCCTAGGAAATTTCCTCTGTGAAGTTAGGTTTGGCTCAAATTCCTCTAAACCTGCTGACTTTTCCCTTCATAGCCCTTCTGCTTCTCATCTCCTCCTGCTCTTCTTGGTTTTTTGCATTCTTGTTATCTGATACTTCTGTTAAAAGAAGTAACTGTAGGTTTTGAAGAGGTGTGGGTATGAAAATACAGGAATAAAAAGTAGCAAGACTGTTTTGCTGTGAATATTGCTTACTTACTCTATTTGGAAATCATTTAAGTCATCTTCCCTGCCATAAGAAACATATGTTTGGGGAGGAGTCCATGGCTGAGGCTTTTTTCATATGAATTAGCAGTATGCAGCAAAGTATGACCTAGAAAATACTTGGACTCAGAATGCTAGAGCTGTGAGAATATCTAGTGTGAATTATCATCAGAAAATAGTACTGCCATCTGACATTAAGGTAATTTTAGTACAAAATTGCTAACATTTGGATGGAAAAATCGCTAAAAAAATAGTTTCCAGTCCTGTAAGCAAATTTGAAATCAAAGAATACTGTATTTTTGCACTAGATCCAAAACCAAAACTGTGAGAAATACTGGGATTTCAATGCAGCATTTTCCTCAGTCCTTACCTTTCTTGGAACATTCAGAGGAGACTGGATTTAATTTTCTATTCATAGTGGGTTTTTTGATGAAGTATGTATTAAAGAAGAAAGAGGGTGTTTGCAGACTAGAACAATGTAAAGACATTATTTAAACTTTCTTAACCAGAGGATGCAGAGATTACTTAAGCCCTTTTAAGGGCTACAAGTTAAGCACTACATATTATGTTCTACTGGGAGTTCTGAATCTTAAGAAAAAAAATCTACACCTGTGTAGGTAACTTTTGATTTTATATTTTTAATATCCTTGTTGAAGCAGAGTTTTTGGATTTTTATATTCCCAGTTGCAGGGAAAGTGATTGATAGTCTTCACTTTCTTGTAAAACAAAACACAACTAAAAGGCAAAATTAATATCATACATATTTTTTCTCTGTTTCTCATGCCCTTCATCACAAACTTCATTCTGTTTTTAGGGGAAAAACAAAGTTAGGCGAGTGAAGACCATTTATGACTGTCAGGCAGATAATGATGATGAACTCACATTTGTTGAAGGAGAAGTAATTATTGTAACTGGTGAAGAGGACCAAGAGTGGTGGGTATGTATCTTTCCCTTTTAAAGTTCCACATAACTTCGTTATGACTTTTATAGGAAAACCTCTTTTTCCAAACGTGGAGGGTTTGTTTTTATTTCTGTTTGTAGGTCGTGGGTTTTGTTTTTGTTTTGCTTTGATTTTTGTTTTGTTTGTTTTTGCCTGAGCTAACAGCCAGCCCTTAAACTTCTATTAGAGAAAACCCTTTTATCTGGGCTAACAGACTCTGGAGAGTCTGTTACAACCAGCCCCCCTAGGTTTAGCTTTATTGATGGCTCATACAGCACTTATTTACACATGCCCCTCTCTGTAATGCATACAGCCTTTCATTAAATGAAGAAATGGTGATTCTTACTCCATTTAACAAACTTACACCCTCCACGAAGATGAGATGTGTAATTATCTTCAGTTCACCCAAAATGTTAAGTTATACCTACAGGGGGTGCTGGAAATCGAAAGAATAGTTTGCAATTGATGCTATATGGTGATGGTTTTCTTCTTAAATGAGGGGCAGATAACATTTTCTTTCCCTTCTTCTCTCTCATGTCCCAGTTTTATACCATACTCACTCTATTATGGACTGCACATTGTTCAAGTGCTAACACCAGGTTTTTCTCAACCTCACATGAAGGCTCCAGTCTTTCTTGACAACCCATGACATCCAAGACAATCATGTCCCTAAAGCCCTGCTACATCATATTTCCCTGCCAAAGAATTATTCCTGGGGATAATGAGACAGATTTCAATTGACTGAAACAAATTCTAATTGCAGTGCTGCCTGTGATACCCTAATCTAGGTGCAGCACAACCTTTGCTGTTTTGTTTCCAGCTACGTTTTCCTCTCACTCATCATATAAGTGTGGAAGATTCTTAGCTGAAGAGCTGATATCAAAAGAGCAGTGCCCAGTGAAAAGTGCCTGTGTTGCCCATATCACCTAGTCCCTGATTACTGCTGCATTCCCTGCTGAACCTATTTTGTAAAGTGGCTTTTTAAGCCCCTTGGGGACATGCCCAGCAAGTTGCATGAAGCAGCCCAGCCTGAGTTTTTTTGAGAGGGGAAACAAGGGCTGTTGACTCATATGCTTCAAAACTTTGGCTCTCCAAGAGGAAATGGCCAACCCTGTATGTTTCCCTTTCCCATTTTGTAAGCTTCTGGAAGAGGAAGGAAGGTACACCATTATTCTGAAGGTAGTGAGCAGCGGGGTGAGAAGAAGGTTATGTGGTCAGTCAGGGCTGCTGCTCCAGTGCTATTCAACAGTTTATAATTATGCATTTTAAACATGGAAAGTTCATATAAAATATTCCATTATTTTTTAATCTCTTTGAATAAGTTTATTGGTTATTTCTTTATAAATAATCATTATGCAAAAGATGTTGTAGTTGAAAGATGCTTAATTAGACAACACTGATTTAATATGGTGGGTTCAGTGGGGTTTATCACTAGTGTTATAAACACAAGTATGCACCTAAATCATTAACTGTCGTACTAATTCAATGAGAAAACAGCTGGGCTTTTATCACCTTAAGTGAAACATGCACAATATCATAAGTAACTTCACAAATATATAGCAGACAATTCCCTTCAGTGAGATGTTTAGGATTTATTCACTTAGATAAGTGGCTTGCAGAGATGTTACTGAAAATCTGGCTATCAGACAAAAGAAACTCAGGCTTCTGTTTTGGTGAGATTCTTGAAATTCAGTGATGTACATAAGTTTCCTAAAAAAAATTTGAGTTTTATTCTCTTTAGATTTAATTTGCTTCATTTGCTCTATTTATAATATGCTTGTGCAGTTTCATTTTGTTCCTTTACACAGATTCAAATGTTAACTACAGTCTGCTTCAGAGCAGAGGTCCAAGAGGTTGCTGAGGCTCTGTGAGCAGTTCTGCTGCTTTTGAATGAGTGCAGTCTGTGAAGTCTGTGTGTACACATGCACATCTATAAATATGTATATCTGTACCTTCTTCTCCTGTGTTGCAGATTGGCCACATCGAAGGACAGCCAGAGAGGAAAGGGGTCTTTCCAGTGTCCTTTGTGCACATTCTGTCAGACTAGTCTAAACAAACAAATCCTAAACTTGAGCATTGCACATTCTTCATGCAAGACGGGCTTTTTAGCAAAAGCGAACGCTGCTGCCTCCCTGTAATCCTGTGCACAATTGTATATATAGCTGCTGTTACAAATTAAGAATTCATTTAAGTTTCACCTCATGAGGTTGAATTATATGTATTGTAAATATACTGTGTTATTCTGCCTTTGCCAGTATTATGGTAGCCTTGGAACCTGGCGCGCCTTATCGGGTTTGTTGAAGCCATCCTGGGCATTTAGCACTTCCATCTCTGTCCGTGCTGTCCCACACGAGTGGACTGCCAGCTTTCCAACATAGGTGGTCTCTGTCACCCACGTAACTGTACAGAAATTACTGTTCCTAATAACTTGGTATTCTCAATATACAATTAGCAGAAAGTTAGAATGAGTGAATGGTTTTGGACAATTTAAAGATCAGTCTGCAGTTCATAAGTGTATGCAGTTTACAGCTATGAAACCCACTTCGATATTTATTTAATATAGTGCTCAGTTAAGTGTAATTATGAAGACAAATATTCACTGACTTTACAGATAACAGTAATGTTTTACAGTGTGCATACAGCATTTCATGTTTATATTTTGTGGACCTATGCCAAACTGTGATTGCAGTTCCCCTGTGATATTACCTCACTATAAAAATTAACAAATTTATTTCATTGAAAACTTACTTTAATGAAAATTAGTCATATTGTTCTTTAGTAGGTATGTGTGAAATTTGCTGGTTTCTTTCACTGAATTCTTAGTAACCAAGGACTTCTAGCAAATGTTAACTGTTGACATTGTGCATGCATTTAGATGCTTACTTGAAACCTGCCTTTGTACAAAAGTAGTACTGTAGTCATATAGCTACATTTGAGGAAAAGAACATTTTAACTTAATTGCTATTCAGGTTAATGTGAGCTTGCAACAGTATTTGTTTATAGCTAAATTGGCTCTTTGAAAACTGATTTTGTGGATTTTTTTTCCTCTTGTCTTCAACCTTGCTAAAAGTTAGTTACCTAAAATAAATTTTTTAAGTGGTGATATAAGGATAAATTTAAATTATTTTTAATGCTCTAAAAAGTGGAAGCTAAGATGACCTCTCATGCATTTGATCAGGCTGTTAATGGTAGATCTCAGATCACAAGGATAAGGCTGGTTTTCATGGAGTTCACCAAACTGACAGTAAGAGTTGTAACCCAAAGCACAAAGTAACAGACATATGTCACAAAACTAATTTCTAAGAAAATCTTTGGAAGGCTGCATTTGACCTGAGGTTTCTTGAAAGTTGGTATAAAGTTGCATTGCCAGAAAACACTTCAATGTATTACTGGAAACTTTAATTTCCTGTATCACTTTTAACATAATTTTTAATCTTTTGAAACATCATGCAATTGTGTTTTTCCCATGGTTTGTCTGTAGCGGGTTCCATGACTTTCATATGTAGTTTTGTATTACTTGCTTTAAATGTTATTTTGGCTTCAGTACCTAGTGCTGCTATTTCAAAGCAGATTGTCTTGGCTGCATGGAAAGTTTTTCATTTCATAAAAGCATATCTCAGACTTTCTGAGGTCTTTCATTTCTAATACAGTTTTACAAGACTGTAGTCAGTGAATATTTAATTCTGTTTGTGATTAATTTAGAAACAAATATCTGTCTAAATCCCACACAAAAAAAAAAAAGCAAAACATTTTCAACTATTAATGATTTTATCATTTATTTTAAAAACAATGAATTCCAAAAAAAAAATATGCAATGAGTGAGCAAGCCTGCTGGCATCTAATCTTCAGTATTACCACCTCCAGTATTTCAGACTTTATTCTGTTTTTATGGAAAGGAAGTCAGGTTTAGCGTTTATTTAGCATTCCATTTTATCCATTACTACAATGTTTTAAGTTGCATTAAAGAACAAAACCTATTCACTTTTGTGGTCAGTTGTATTTTTAAGTGATCTTGAAATAAACTGATAAATGCAAATCATATAAAGAAAACCTAGGCATGTAAAATTATGTAGAGTCAAATGTCTATTCTTTTCTACGCTCTTTAAAATAGTATACATATGCATTTTATAAAATTAAATGAGTTCCATAAGGAACAATAGTTCTGTTTATTCTGGCTTATTGTGGATCATAAGAAATCTGAAAATGTATGATATTGATTGAGTTTAAGTACAGTATTATATTTGAACTCAATGAGCCACTGTCTGCAATTTTGTATATGACATAGTATTTGGAAAGTCTAAATCTTTATGGAAAATTAGCTGATAAAGGGTTGGGGGGAGGGGCAGGGGAAGGTGCCCCCAGAGGGGGAAGTTTGCTCTGCAGATGATGTCTTATTTACTGTTGAACAACAGTTGCTATTTATTTTTTTATTACATAGTACATCAGCGTGTACAGAAATCAGATCTGGTCATGCCACTAGTTAAAATCTTGACTTCTCATTGAATGTTAAGGTAAAACATCAGTACACATGTCTATTCACATGTATTTAATGTGACAGTTTTTGAGTACTGTATGTGTTAATTTCTACTTTTTTAATATTTAAAATTGCTTTTAAATAAATGTATTCAGTTGATCCCAGATATCTGAACAAGGCCCTTTTTGTCAACTGGAATATCTTCTAAGGAGAAAGTCTGGATTCCAAACAGGTAGAACTAAGACATTTGAAATGTTTTCTCTTGAATATAAAGCACTCCTTATATAATGCAATTAAATGTATATCTCTTTAACAGCTGTTAAATATGGATGCAATTGCCTTTATCTGGAAAACTTTACTTACTAAAGTTAGCATCAAACCACTTGTTTTGTCCATGAGTTTCGATTGCTTTCTCTCAGCAGGCTCTGTGGGCTCCCAGCCCCCTCTGTTGTTTCACAGCAGCCTGTGGGGTTGAAGGAACCATTCACAAACTTGGTCTGTGGGCAGGATCTGCCAACCTGACAGCAGCTCTCGCACCAACTAGAGCAGTACTAATCTTTCCTGGGTGGAGTGACTCTTGCTTAGACTTTCAGTCCTGACCCAGCTTGCAGAGGTTGTATTTCCCCCGTCGCTGACTCAGTTCTTGGATGTTTTTCATTTAAGACCCATTCCTGTCAAAGCTACTCCAAAATGAACAAGTCACTTGAAATTGCTAGAAAGCAATGGGAACATCCTTTAGCCAGAGGAAAAGCTGGAGTGTGGAGCTATCAGATCTGGTTTGTATCAAGAATAGTAGCTGCCACAGCACAGGGCTCAGGAGACTGCTGTGAGAGATTCTTCAGACTGGATTGAGGCACTGATGTGATGACCCACCATCACAGAACATCCTGCTTGCTGTATTTGGGGCTTTCAAATCTATATAGGCTCCACATGGTGGGGTTGGAGGGGGAAAATATGGATGTGGAGCAGAAGAATCAGTCTGGTTAAATATCATGCTCTTTATCAATTTCTACTGTGTCACTGTATTTCAGATAACAGCATTCAGAGAGACATTGATTCCAGCAGCCTCAGTTCTCTGTCCTACTTGTATTATGTGTTCTTCAGTGACATGTATTGATTTCTTTTCCTAAGTCAAAATTAAGGTGGATATCTCAAATACTGTTTGGAGCAGCAGAGAACAAGACAAACACATACCCAGAGAACTTCCTTGTTATTTAAAGTTTCAGTCTCCTTACTGTTCTCCTGGCAAACTTAAAGCTCATAGATAAACAGAAAATTGGCAGTCTATACCAGTGAAAGTGGTGCAAATATTAAATACCAAAGCATGAAACTCAAGATAGCTCCCTACTGCACAACAGAAAACAAACAGTTCAACCGCATAAATCTGATTTGTTTTCAGATGCTTCTCCTCTCCAGAACTTTCTAGTTCTGTGTGATAGTTCGCCTGAGTATCAACAGAAAACAATTTTATTTTTCCATTCTCCACACTGTTACATAGTTTCATGCCACTCACACCCTGGACTGGGAAACCTCCTGTGCCATGAAACCAGAACTAGACAGAGAAGTAAATGTCCATAAGTAAATGAAGTTCAGTTTCAGGCCTTGCATTCTTACAGAGACCTTTTCATCTTAAGAGTTTAAGGCTCTCAGGGATACTTTTATTAGATGCTTCAGGCCTTCTGGAACAGCCGGCGGTTTTTCAGGTGGATGCAAAGTGCACAAACGACTGTAAGATGTTTTCCTCTGCATAGCTGCAAGACAACATTTTTCGTATCTAATACAAACGAACTATTCTAAGTTGTCTTAATGATACTTTTAGGGCTATACATAACAAGATTTACAGCTCTGTCATCTGCTGAGGGAGTGCTCAGGTTTCTTGAGATAAGCTAAGTGCTGTTTGTCAACTCGTGCTTAAGCTGACACACCCCCTGTCCCACCCCCGAGCTGCAGCGGGCACAAAACCTGCACGTCTTGGCTGGTTCTGGTCAGCTGCTGCTCGGGAACAGTAAAAACGATAGTGTGTCATGGTACAGGCTCTGCCTTGTTCCTCTGTAAATTACAGAACAGATCCTCCCGGCTGCAGCAAGGCGGATGTCTGCTCCAGTCCTTTTGTAATGGTGGGGGCAGGGAGGAAAGTTTGTGACAGCTGTCACATCTGCTAAGCTGTCAGAGCAGAGGGGAAGCTGGTCAGTCATTTTCTGCACCACCTAAAGGATGTCTTGAACAAGGTTTAAGCTTACCAGGAACTTTAAATCCAGTGTTGACTCTATTGATGCTGGTTCCTACCAGTTTGACCTTGGTTCTTGTAATGTCTGATCAGAAAAATCCCTTCCCCTTGTGCGTTCTGCTCTTCTCTGAAAGGCTGTGTGGAACTAGGTCTATTTCCAAGTGGGTTTTTTAGGTTTTTTTCTCACAAGGCTTAAAGATAATTCTATGCCTCAATTACCATCAGAAATTATGAATCTGATTTCTCTCTCGCAGTCCCATTGAGTGGATTCATCAATCCTGAGCAGTGAAACAACTGTTCTAGAAGGGCTGTATTGGAGATTGTTTCTTGTATTTAATTTTGTTCTGTTAAAAACAGTAGCATTAGGCTTTGTTTTTTGATAAATAATTAACTTTCCCAGTCTTTTCCTCAGGGAATGCTCCAGTAATAACTTGCTACTTCTGCCTGCAAACTTACAAGCTTAAGTTGCTCTTAAACCCATTTTAGTAATGTTTTTCATCTCTCCCTATTCTCACATCCCTGCTACAGTAAGTGTCAACAGTCCCTCCAAGCTGGGTTTCCTAGTCTTTAAATAAAAACTTAGGTATCAGAAAAGACTGAAGTGTGCTCCTGAACTTCAGACTGAAGGAAAGACAAGGCACCTTGAGCTGAATGTGCACAAAAGAGGTCAGCAGCTGTTTGGTGATTGAGCAGAGGTTTATTGTGGTTTTCCATTGGAGCCTGCAGATTTCCTTAATGACCTGACACCAGCGGCCACTTGCTGCTTTAGACACCTCAAAGACAAAGCAGACTTTTTTAAGTAAGTAAAGGTTCTACTGCCTGTAATCACTTGTCTGTTCAGCATCTATTCCCATTCATGGCTCCAGATCTACATATCCAAATGCCTTCCCTTTATTCACTGTAGGGTTTGAATTCAGAGCTGTAGCCCTACTTTAACAACTGTAGGCAGGAAAGCAAGAGCCCCAGGCAGCTGATCAGTAAGTGAGCTGAAGCCAGCCACATGCTCTCATTTCAACTGAGATTTTTTTTATTGTGTGGAATCCCACCCAGGCACTGGGGAAAAAAAACACATTGTGGAGCAATTTCAGGACCACTGCACTTGTTCTGACCTCTGTGGATAGAAGTGGGGGGAAGAAGGGCAGATTTGTGATCCGTAATACTTCTCAGTGTCTGTCCTCCCTACAGGAACTGGGCCAAGCTCTGCAGAAAGAAACAGAACAAATGCTAAACCTGCCTTGATAGGGTGCACAGAGCTGCTTAAAAGGGAAATTTGGCAGTCTGGACATCTGGAGAGCAGGAAACATCTTCATCTCTGAACTGACACCAAGTGACACTGGAAGATGGGGAGTTACAAGACTTTTGCAGAGTATAGAAATAAATCTGAGCTCTACATGTGTTACAAGGTAGAATGTGAGAAGAGCAGGGGACAGAAGCCATCACAAACCACAGCTTGGACACCTTGGAAAGAGTATAAATGACTCCATGATGTGAAGATCAATCATAAGGAGTCAGCAGCTGTCCTGTGAGCACTGCCTCTAGGCTGACCACATACTTACCTGATAGTCAAGGTAATGCAGGTTCCAGTGAAGTGAAGGTTCCTTGTCCTGGAGAAGCAGCAACATCTTAGCAAGCAGCACTTGGGGCGGGAGGGCAGCAGGGCAGTGAGACCATCTGGTCAGCATTATGCAAGTAGCTGCTGTAATTTCTGGGCCCTAAGAAGGAGCAGCAGGGCCTGTTCCTCCACATTTGGCTGTAAGCAAGGAGGTGCTGCTGCCTTGCCAGAGCAATCTCTGGCTGCAGCATCACACAGGACCCAGGTCCACCCTTAGATGTGGTTCTGGCATCCACAGTTCCTCCTTGGAGCAGATCTGGAACAGTCACCTTGCTTAGGGACAGATCATCCTTTAACTTGGCACTTATGTTCCCAGCCAGGTTTGTCTGGATGAGATGCTGCTGGGTCCTGCAGAAAAGCTCCTTCTGTTCTGCCTTCCCTGCTGGCATGTAGAGAAATTTGAGAGGGAAAAAAAATAACAAGAAATTTGGAAGTGGAAAACCCCTCTCTGCTTTAAAACCCTTGAGAGCAGGATATGTTGTTCTCATTTACCCATGGCAGTCTTCCATCTAAATGTTTTTCATGCAAAATGGAACCCTTGGTAATGTTTATTTAGATGGGGGCTGCCAGGGGTCATCACTTCCCTCTGTCTGTAGAGTAGGCACCTGCTCTGCCTATGATCCACAGCTTTAGCTGCTTGCCTGGTGGAATTTAAAAGCACCAAATGAAGTACTTCTGCATAGGGGTCCCAATACCTACGGGACTTCTCCGCACCCCAGCCTCACTGCTGCCCATGGCTCCTCTGCTTTGGGCAAAAACCAGGACTTGTAGCCATTGTGGCAAGGCCTGGGCCTTGGGGGCTGCAGAGTGAACTGAAGCACCACAGCCCCCCTCCAGCAACTGACAGTAAAGCTGGGAAGCAAAATGCCATTTAGAGAAATTACCTTAAGACGTGTTACCCACACCTAATCCCTGTCCCTTACTGAAAGGGATTGATGGTGCAGGAGAACAACAGCATCTGTTGCTGGAGGGAGAGCTTCCTTGAGGAACAGATGGAGAGGCCATGTCCTGGGGGGACCCTCACTCTTCTGCAACCAAGATGTCATCAGTTGTCAACAGGAAGAAGAAGATGAAGAAAAAACAGAACAAGGTGCCTCAGAGATGTCACAACTGCTCTGGACTCTTAAGTGTAGCTCTAGAGATGGAAGGAGCTCCTGGGGCTTGAAGGAGAAATTAGGCCTTGTCGAGTTTTTCCTTTGATCCTCCAAAGTTAGTCTTACAGACAATGTCTCACTGAAGTGGCTTGGCTGCCAGGCTGGATAACCAGGCCTTGACCATTGCAGGGACCAACACCTGCGTTTGGAGTTGCCCCGTCCCAGGATGTCACTCCTTCCTTGGCCACAAACCTCAGCCCCAGGCGCTGCTCGGGCCAGGGCAGCTCCAGCAGAGTCTGCAGGCATGAGACTGATGGAGACGGCTGGGTTTTGTTACACACATTGGAAGCCTGCAAGGTGCTCAGGCATGTGGCTGCTCCCTTCCCATGGCTGCAGAGCCTCGCCCGTGCTGTGTTGTGTGTGTTTCGTGCGCGCTCGCCCAGAGCAGCCCGTGAGGGCAGGGCCCTATCTGGCTCCTCACGAAGGGTCTCTCCTGGCCCCCCGGGATGGCTGTGGGGGCTGATGCGAAGGCTCTGACCTGCGCTCATCCTTTACCCCCGGCCCGGCGGGGTGAACAGCCGCGAGTGCCGCTGGCCCGCGGGGGCTGCCCGGAGGCGGCGGGGAGGGAGCTTGTGAGGGGCCCGGGAATCGGGGCCGGGCGCGGCGAAGGTGCCGGGGCCGCCTCTCCCTCC